ACCGGAAGAGCTCCCTCACGAGATCTCGGAAATCTATACGTGATTCGGCAATAAAGTAGAAGGTCAATTTACGTCTATCCCTGTATGAAATCGATTAGATCAGTAAAAGTCAATAGATGGATTTCTCTACCATTGGAATTCACAGTCCACGACCTGCATAGGCAGTTTCTTTTGGCGAACTTTGTTTTGACACAACTGTAGCGCTTTCTGCTCGTCTTCTTCCTTTCGAGTAAGATCCCTGTGATCCATTTATCAATAACACTGTATACTCATTAGTAGCCAACGTACTGGATTTCCTTGGGGCCTGCGATGCCATAGACTCGCTTGGCTTTGGCGTGAGCACCGACTGGGATTCCCAGATCGGCAGCAGCGTTTTGACGCTGAGCGATTAGCCAATGCTTCTCGACGTCTGGATTGACGACTATCCCAATATCTTTACCCCGGTCTCCCTCTACAATGAGCCTGTCGCCCTCCTTGACATCCAAGCTCGAATCACAAAAGAATACTTCTTTTCTGTTCAGCTTGAACTCTAACAAGACCAGTCGAGAGGAACGAGGGACGTCGTCTACAGGAATACCCTGGTTGATGTCAGCCATACCCCCTCCCTGTTTTAAATGCTGCTCTGAGTAAAAATCGGATCGATAAATGTCGTTGGGGGAAACAACATCGAGATGCTCGTGTGAACCATTTTGTTGAACAGGGGAATGATCCCTTGAGCGCAATGTTTCCAGAGGAGATGCTTTATTAGGATGAGTGACCTTTGATAGCGCTGCACTCAGTTGATCAATCCCACTAGTATTGCTGTTGGTGAAAGGACTGTCTCCAACAACGGGGGAGCGCCCATCCGAAGGGGTACGATTGACATGAAGATGCGTATCGAGTGTCGTGTATCCTTGGGAACTTTGAATACCGTTCATAGGTCGAGAGTACAAATAGTTATTGGAACCGCCAGCAGTATAAGGGTAGGAGGTTGCGCCAGATGAATGGAGATCGCCCATGACCCCTTGGGTATCATTATTGAGACTGAGTAGGGTAAAGTCACCAGCTAGTTCCTCGTCGGAGAACATGGATCGGTTCAAACCACTAGTCATACGGGATTGGGAAGCATCCTCTCCACTTACTGTCGAGATGACAGGGAAACCTACACCTCTAGCGCGGGGTTGGACGATGCTGACGCTGTGCCGACGGCTCGTTGCACCACTACCAGGCTCTTCTTCTCGCATCGTGCCCATATAAGAATGCCACTGGTCATAGTTAGACGTAAATTGACCTTCTACTTTATTGCCGAATCACGTATAGATTTCCGAGATCTCGTGAGGGAGCTCTTCCGGT